GTTCGTTCGTTCGTTCGTTTATTTATTTCTTCCTCCCACTGTATTCCGATCGTTGCCTACGTGACACCTTTGCCTCAACCCCTCCTCTGAAAAAATAATTTATTACTGTGACAAAATAGAATAGATTGCACTTATATAGATGATAACATCAACGAATTATTTTGCACTAACGAACTACAGTAAAATATATCTTTTACATTGAATTTATCTAATAACTGTTATGAATCTCACGTGGCCTGAAATGGAAAAATATTACTCATAAGGTAAAGAGGTCTATCCAAAAACTCACTTTGGTTAATAGCCTAGGCCTCGTTTTACTTATTCACTACTTTATTTTGCAACAAAGAACACAAGGACTGACAAGAAATTACAGAGCTACTTTGACCAAATCTTATCACTGCTAGAAAAACGAAAGGTCTTCATCTTAATAACGTGCTTTTTGCCTTGAATTAAATATTTTGAGTTTTTTTGGATTGATTTTGTTTCCTCTACATGATGCCACTGAGAAAACTGTAAAAAGATCGCAGGGCGTCTTCTAATTCATTGGCCGAAAAGTTGCGGTCTAATTGCATAGCGCCATGTTGTGTTATTCCTTTTGTTTGCTATGTTTACCTTGCCACCTTTATTATTTACCTTTATCTCTGATATATATTGCATTAATAAATACACAAGAAATAGTTAAATCTTTAAAAAATTCTGAACAATATRCTTATTTTAATGTTGAATCGTTATTTGTTTTAGCAAAAAGTGTTCGTTGAACACTTCGCTTTCAAAGCATGACACCGAGCAAAATTAATGCATGTTTCAGAGTTGGGATTACTATTTCTTATTATAAAAAGTTTTGCTAATATAATTTCCTTCGCCAGCTGTTCTAGCTTCTGTAGTTTGCATAAAGAGGGAAAATTGTTTAATGGGGCTATATCAATCTATGTTGAAAGACGAAAGACTTGGGACTTTTTTTGCGAATTTATTCAGCGTTTGACGACAAAATGGCGTCACAATATATACATGTCAAAATTTGGTAACATAACGATCCGGTTTTTTAAAGGAAATTTGTAGCTGCAGCAGTTAAATATCTCATTAGTTATGAAGATATTGAATCGTTAGTTAAATGTAAACGCTATAAAAGCGAATATAACAAAAAGTCAAAGGATGTTTACCCGTTGGTTATCGACATCAAAAACCATAAGCAATAAAACAATATATCATATCTGCAAGAAGCTTATTACTCTTTATATTGACGTTTTCTAAGTAGCAGTGAGAAATACTGAATTTGAATAATTGAAGACTTGATTATAAATTTATAAAGAGGGTTAAGATGGGTAAAGACGGGTGATTTTTGATTGTTAATTGATCTAGTTCGTTCAAGAATGGATTTGAAAGCATACGTTAATTGCTGTAATGGCTTCCTATAATGTTTGAACACGTCCTTATCAAGTTTGAAGTGTAATTTACACCAGCTCTTGTACACAATAACTCTCTTATGACACTTATAAATCTTCACAACACAAATAGGTAATAAAACACAAGGCAAAAACAGTTAAAATGCAACTAATTCACGAATATACTTTACCTAAACTGAGGTCTTCTACTTGAGTCGTCTTCATCCATCATTATCCTTCTTTGGTGCAGTAATTTATGGCGTTTTTTGTCCATAACAACCAAACGAAAATCTTTATTTGCAAACAACGTTTCACGCTCTCAATAATTGTAAGCAATTAAACGAAGTCCTTATTCATTAGCAAACAAAAGATATTCCACTAGAATGGCCTCTGATGGTTTTTATTCCTTTGGGAATCGTTTTTAAAGGGCCACTTGGACGAAAATTCGGACAAATTTCAAAACCCCTCTATGCGACTACAAACGGTTCCAAAACAATCAATAGAACTAATTAAACAATATCCGAACCTTAAATTTACCTTTTGTGTGAATATTGGTTCAAAAAAATAGGTCTTAAAAGTGTCCGCCAT